CCTTTTTAATACATGTAACATTTCAAAATGTAATTCAGAGAACATTTAAATTAATTTCCTTCAATACATAAATCCAATCTGTAGGAACTTATTGCGCTGCCATGACTACAGCAAGTGTTGACGGCTAACCTAATTTTATTTAGTTCTATCATTTTAATTGTTATTTACTGTCGCTTCTGAGTACCAGCGTCTTTCTTTCTAGAAAGAAAGCGGCACACTTAAGTACAATATAAATAATAATAAATCATTTCAAAATAAATCTAAGCAAATAATAAAATAAAAAGAAATTACCGACTAAAGCAGTTTTGCTAAATAAGGAAAATGAAGTGAACAAACACAAATGCTATCTCGTCCATGTCCTTCGCCACTCAGATCCCCTTTTATCGTGGTTAGCTGCCACGTGTTCGAGATCTTCCATAACTTGCAGGACTGTGTGACCTCCTACATCGTTGCCACATGCTCCCTTGAGAATTCATAATTCAAGTTTAATTTTCAGAAACATATAATTCAAAGCCAGATGTCTATGATTTTATTTCAAAAGTAAAGTTTTATCCTAGTGGTTTCTTAAAACAAAAGTTTCAACACTACTTTTCATACAAAACAAAATACTACTCGTAAATATGAATTTTAATTTCTTGGTGCCAATATATTTGATAACAATTTACTCAAATACATTTTATTATATGAAATTTGTGAATTTAAGAAGATATATTTCCCTTCTGCCATGTGTCCATTCTATTGATAGTGAAAGCGCAAAATATTTTATTCAACAATATTCTTGTCTTTCTTTATAAAATGTATTTGAAATATTCTGAATATTAAATCCATCTCCAAATAAAATTTAAATTCCACATACAGGAAGAGTTTCACCACAGAAATATAATTTTATCATTATTTCTAAATTGTGGTCAACAGAGACCAAATTTATAACGTGAAAAAATGTACATATAAAGACCAAACAACCATTATTCTAAAATTTTCAGCCACGATCTCAAGTTCCATATAATTACCATACTTGCCACATTACAACTTATCAAATATGTTTCATACAGAACTTGTAATTATGCTTATTTATTTTTATACCACATAGAAATTCAAGTCACCTCTACTGGTTTACATTCTCCAAAATCTTGATTTAATAAAAGCTCCATTTTTTAAACACCTATTATCACACAAAATTTCTGACCCCATATACAGTTGCAACAGCGAAACTTAAAACTAAAACTTATAAAGACTTTAATGACATCAGTTCATATCAAGTGCCAAGAAAATCCACGCTGGTACAGATTTTATGAAGAGACAAACACACGGACATGACGATATCATAAGCTTATCTTCACTTATAAAACAAAGAATGTAGGATAAAAAGAAAAATCAAATCCAGATTAAAGAATCATAAATCAGGATTTAAAAACAGAAGCCAATGTTTAACTACCTTAAATGATTAAAACAGATGGTAATCAAATTAACTTTGTCAAGTTTTACCACATATTATTTACCTGTGATAACATTAATGTCTGGAACATTATCTGGCGAGAGATCTACTGTGCGGGCGTTTCGTTCAAATGCTTCCCGTAATATCCTCTTCAATCTTCAACACAATTCTTGTATTAAGAACTGAACTGCTGCAGTTTTCAGTACTTCACTATTAACCCTTTGAAGCTGGGACATGTCTCAGTAATGTTTATATATTCAGTTCCAATCAAAAAGAAGACATACCAAATCCTCATTACAAAGATCAACTGGTCAATGCTATTTAGGGAGGTAACTGCCGTTTACTCCGAGAATCACATGAAATCCACAAAAAAACTCTGTGGGCAATATACGGAACTTCCGACTGTTATTAAAGCAAGTGATATATATATATAGTTTACAATAGACTTTAAAGGGTTAATCAACGTACTTAGTCCTTAACTCTGGAACACCTGGCAAGATGAAACAGTGAGACACGATGGAACTGAATATTCAGAATTCTTCTACGACTAATATCAGGTCTTTACAAAAGAATGGCTAACATGAATATAGTAATTCAAAAAAAATGTTTAATGAAAGCAGCCACTGAGATTTGGTTACATTCCTATGATTTCAACAGTGATGTGGGATTCACTCTAAGTCAATTATCAACATGAAATAGGACCACCAAAGTCAATGGAAGGAGGAGTCAACCCTAACAAGCATCGTGGAATGTGCAGATCAAGGGACATGGGCTGTGATAAACGAGTATCCGACTTTACGCACTGTCTTCTCCTGATCTGTTATGTGCATAAATACAATAGGCAGTCGACCCCTGGTGACGGAGAGAAAGACAGGTCTCTGAAACATTGGAAACTAATTCCATACTTACACAGACGATTCCCAAGAAGACTTCAATGCATTCAGTCACCATGAAAGATGAAAATGTAATGAAATGAGATTCTTTACGTCATCTATTACTGTTAACTTGATGATGACAAAATAAATTCTGCATGTAGTTTAATTCCAAAATTTCCAGTATGTGTAAATTAAAGGACTAAATGTTCATGTTTGCTTTTATTTGTTGTACCTATTATGTCAAGTCCTCTCCTCTCAACTTCCTCTACGCATCTCCTAATAATCATGGGAACGGCAGATGGGGCTTGCGTCGCTAAGGTGACGCTTGTAGCCACACCTCCGGGTACCCCTCCTGTTAAACTCTCTCGTGTTACGACTGTTTCCAGATCGGCTCCAAATAGAGCTGCCACCCCTGACAGTGATTTGCTTCCTGGGCGACCTGCAACATTTCACAGTATAACAAGTCCTTGCTTTAAAAGATTCACACTGTAAACTTTCATTCACACAAACTTTCATAAAACTTGGCTTATCGTCTGAATGTGAACTGGTCCATACAAAATATTCCAAAGTAAATTAAACAAATGCTAACAAAAATACAAACAACGGATGAAACGTCAACTAGTCAATTAATGAGACCACAGAAAATACATGAGTCAGTTTGCTTTACACTCTGCTTTGGCGTGTGTCTCTTGTGAAATACTTTGTTGTTTCTTTTAACAATTATTAGATTAGAGCCTATTCTGGCAACGAATTGTTGATTTATAACTTTTTTTTTAATTTTTCAGTTGTTTGGGAACAATTCCCAAATAAAATATTGTGCAAGTGGAAAATAGCAACTTGTTTCATGAATTCTATCAAGAAATGCAACTATGCATTTGTAACAGCAAAGACTACTTATAGTATCTAAACAAAGAAAATCAAGATTTCCGTCTTCTGGGTTGTTGCGCTGTGTAGTCTGGTCGATGTTAACCAACGTTTCAGAGGTCATACTGCCTCCGTCATCAGG